TGGACAACAAAAGGGTGTGTGTGCATACACATACATACACACACACACACACACACACACACACACACAGGTTACAAAAGTTAATTATAAACATTTGTATATATCACTTTTATTTAAAAAATGATATTTTACTGCACACCCTGTCACAGGAATGAAGATGTACTAGAAGCTCCATTGGATACACACAGTATGGATAACTCTTTGTTTTGTGACTCTATAGTTACAAATACCACATTTGCTCAGTCTCCATCCAATTATACTACCTTCTTACTGACTTTCTAATCTTTTAGTACCTAGTTCACAATCATCCGATTCTCCTATCTCATTATGACCCATCTATTACTTCCTTAATCTTGCTTCCATTGCTCTGGTTCACACAATCTCCACCTCTCATTCTCTAGGTCATACCCTGAACCTTCTCATCACTCAAAACTATACCTCAGACTAACTCAACCATGCTATTCTCCAATCACAGTGAGATAGAATGTTGGACACTCCAATATTTAGTTGGTAAATAAACAAGAACAAGGGATAGATCCTAACAGGTTTGGCTCAGTGGATAGAGTGTCACTCTGCAGACTGAAAGGTCCCAGGATTAATTCCAGTCAAGGGCATGTACTTTGGTTGCAGGCACATCCCCAGTAGGAGGTGTGCAGGAGGCAGCTGACTGATGTTTCTAACTCTCTATCCCTCTCCCTTCCTCTCTGTAAAAAATCAATAAAATATATTTAAAAATAAAAAATAGAACAAGGGATTGGAGCAACAAGTATTCAGATCACTTTGAAAGTGGTATTCCCTCTGTTAACTAATAACTATATGTATTTATATATGTGATTTTCATTGGGGTAATTCCATCATTGAGAGTTTAAGTGAACATTTCCAAGCCTCCCTCTATTGTCCCAATACCTGTTCATTTAAACCAGAAATAGAGGAGCACATCCTAATAAAAGAGTAATATGCAAATTGACCATAGCTCTGCTACACCCACAAGCCACGCCACCAACCACACCCATCAGCCAATCACAACGAGTATGCAAATTAACCCCAACCAAGATGGCTGCGGCCACAGAGAGCAGGAGGGAGGCTTAGGTTTCCCAGGCAATGGAAGAACCCAAGCTTTCAGCACCCTTGCTGGCCTCCACTCAAGGCTACAAAGTTTCAATTATAGAAAGTAAACAATTTACAATAGCTAAGAATTAGAAACAGCCTAAGTGTCCATCAGCAGATGAGTGGATTAAAAAACTGTGGTACATCTACACAATGGAATACTATGCTGCTATAAACAGGAAGAAACTCCTATCATTTGCAACAGCATGTATAGAACTGGAGAGCATTATGCTAAGTGAAATAAGTCATTCAGAGAAAGATAAATACCATATGATCGCACTCATTTGTGGAATATAGTGAACAACATAAACTGATGAACAAAAACAGATCCAGAAACAAAGAAGCATCAATCTGACTATCAAACTTCAAAGGAAAGGAAGGGGATAGGGGAGGAGACCAATCAAAGGACTTGTATGCATGCATATAAGCATAACCAATGGACACAAACATCAGGGGGGTAAGAGGCAAAGGGAGGATAAGGACTTTTATGTAATATCTTAATAAATAAAGAAATTTTTTTTAAAAATCTAAGTGGCAAACTTCAGAATAGCCAGAAGATTAGGGGTACTTGGGTTGTCAGACACTAAATTGTATATTAAAGTCACAGTATTTAAATCAATATAAAACTACCACTAGAAAACCAAAATTTAATGAAATGGGAAAATGAATCAGGAAAAAAAAAATGATAAATAAAGGAATCCATCATACAATTAAAAAGGAAAAATTGATTAGCTGAATGATACTGAGGCAACAGTTTAGACATCTGGAAATAAGTAAAATTAGAGTCCTTTTTGTTCCTTTTATCAAAATTTATTTCAGATAGATCAAATATTATTTTTAAAACTATACAAATTAAAACCATAAAATTACGAGAAATACAGATGTTATAAAATTCTGAAGTAAAAATATCTTTCAACCTTGGCCAGTGTTGCTCAGTGATCAGTGTCGGCCTGCACACCAAAGGGTCATGGATTCGATTCCTAATCAAGGGCATATACCTGGGTTACACGTTTGATCCCTGGTTGGAGGTCCGTGCAGGAGGCAATCAATCAATGTGTTCCTCTCACCCCTCTTTTTCTCTCCCTCCCCCCAATTCCTCATTCACTCCCTCACTTCCACACTCTCTGAAAAGCAATGGAAAAAAGTATCCTCTAGTGAGGATTAACAAAAATTAAATAAATAAAAAGCATCTTTCTTAAAATGACACAAATATTAAAAATAAAGGGGTTTATAATTTTTCCTACATAAATTTAAATTTATGCCACAAAAAAATACCAAGAAAAGTAAAAACACATTTTTCAAAATGTTTCATGAATATCCCCTATAGACAAAAAGTTCTCATAAACAAATATGAAAAAAATCTGAACACCCAACAGGAAAATATATAAGGATTTGAATGGGCAACTCACAGAAGAAATTCAATAATTAATAAAAAAGTGAAAAAATGTTAACCCCGTAACAATTCACATAAATCCATATTAAGAAGGTAAACCATTCCGTTTACAATGTGCCAGACACTATGATCAGCATTTTATAAATTATCCAACTTAGAATCTTCACAATAGCATGAAGAACTAAAAACTGTTATTAGCCTCACTTCACTATAGCTGAGGAAACTGAGAAAATTATATAAGGTCCCTCATATACCTGATGAAGCCAATAAGGCATCGTCAGAGTTAGGTCTCATAACAACTATGTTATACTATCCCTTAAAATAGAAAGATCATTCTTTCCTTCACCAAACATTAAATTTTCAAAACTCAGTGTTTAAGATAATGTACAGATCCTTTGCATATGGTTGTTAGAACTATACATGTGCTCAAACTTTCTGCATTATACACATCAATATTTAAAATGGGCATGCCTCGCCAAAACCAGTTTGGCTCAGTGGTAGAACGTCGGTCTGCGGACTGAAAGGTCCCGGGTTCAATTCCGGCCAAGGGCATGTACATTGGTTGCGGGCACATCCCCTGCGGGGGGGGGGTGCAAGAGGCAGCGCGGTGATGTTTCTCTCTCATCGACATTTCTGGCTCTCTATCTCTCTCCCTTCCTCTCTGTAAAAAAAAATCAATAAAATATATACTTTTTAAAATGGGCATGCCCTTGCATAGTGAACATAGTATAACCTGTAGCCATCCATTCTCCTTAAGATCGCAACTTCTGAACTTCAAGTGATACTGCTACTAGTGAGGTTCCTGGCCTCCACTGCCATTCTTCCATGGGTATATAACTCAGGCAAGGCCCTTGGGAGTCTCCCCTTGGATTGGTATATGGATGTTGGGGGGAAAGCTATCTTTGAGCAATCTGCCTCCCAAGTGGAAAGAGTCTTCATGAAGAATGAGACCAAACAAACAAGTAAAACAAAGAAAGAGAAAACGCCTAGACAATATTGTTGGAGCCTGTAGATCAAGGCTGAAGCAAACCAATCTGAAATTTAATTATTTGTGCTAATCTATTTCTTTTTTTTTCCTCTTGTTAGTTTAAGTTGGACTTCAGTTATTTGAAATCAAAAGATTCTAATTATTTATTACAATCTCACCTCTAAGAATCTTAATTATAACATTACACAACTGTGAAAAGGAAAAAGTATAAAAATATGTATTCAAGTGTGCCCTATAATAGAAAAACATTGAAGTGTCCACCAAAAGAGAACTAGTTTTTAAAAATCACAGAACTGTCTCTCAGACTTGCCTGATTAGAATCACTTGGGCACTTTTTAAAAGTACAGAAAACTTAGCCATTGGGAAAATCAAATTCATTAGGTATATGATGGGCTATTAGAATGGGTCCTATTTTTACAAGCATTCTCTACAATTTTCATAACCAAAATAGGGTTCTGGAAACCCTAACATATACATACTAGTATATCGTTCAGATAATTAGGAAAAAGGTGTCCAAAACAAATTGCTAAGTGGGGGGGAAAAAAAGTTTCAAAATTCATGTAACATTTGGTTCTTTTCATGAAAAATTACATAACTATCAATGTGTGTATATATTTGATCAGAGCAATCATTTCAACCTCTGTGGCAGAGATACCACAATTATTTAGAATTTACTGAACTGGGAAGGAGCTCCCTGAAAAACTGACACACATTCTGTTTAAGAATCCATGCTGTGAATTGATATCAGCAGTATCAATGTATTACATCTCTCAGAAGCAGACATAAGATTGAACCTCTGGCATAAAGAAAAGTCTAGAATAATATTCATCAAAATGGTAATAGAAGTTACTGCAATGGTATGAGTTCAGATCATTTCTACCAGCTTTTTGGTTAATTTTTAATATTATTTTAATTTTTATTTACAGTGAGTCAATATTTTTAGAATGGGAAAAAGAAAGCTATTTGCATGAAATAAAGTTAAAACATTTTTAACCAAGTAATTTTATGATCACTAAATATAGATTTTTCTGAAACAGAAAAATTCTTCACCTTTCCAAATTAAAATGTAAAAGTATAGTAGTTGCTTTAAAAAGCAGAATTTCTTAAAACAAGACTATTAGTCCATGTAGCTAAAGAACCAAGGGAAAATTTATTAAGTGGTATCTCATAATTAACATTCAACTGACAAGTAAAATAATAAAAGTAGTCTTTTTCAAGAAAAATGTTTTTCAATCATGAAGAACAAAAAAATTAAGAGTTAACTTAGTTCACTTAACTCTCATATCCAAGACAATGATCTAGACAGTAAAGTAAATAAGAGATAAATAGAACTCACCATCCTAATAAAAACTAGATTCAATTCTGTATATGCCAGTTATACCTCAATTTAAAAAAAAACTTTTTAAAAACTAGATTTTATTAGAAAGTTACTATTTAATTAATAAAAACACACTTTTACTTACAAGAAAGATGACAATATTTAATAGTTTTAAATGATAAATTATGACTTACCCCATCCAACAGAGTATTTGATAAATGTATACGGAGATCTTTACGAAATGGGAATTCCAGATTTGAAACATGAAACACTGAATTATCTCTATCAATCATAAAAACTTCATTTGTGCCATCAATCAACATCATATACCTGTAAATAAAACATAAAAGGTAACATTAACAACATAATTCAAGAAATAATAGATTGTTTTTCCTTAGGCTTACAATAGCTGCATGGAATAATGTTTAATAGATTCCTCCCTTTCCGCTATCATTCAGATTAAAGTACCACAAATAACAAATATTCCCTTCTTTTTTTCAAAAAATGGTTTCCTATAAAAAACACATGGTATAGAGAAATCAAAGCTTTTTTTATAATTTACTTTTTATGTTTTTATTGATTTCAGAGAGAGGAAGGAAGAGGAAGAGACAGAAACATCAATGAGGAGAAAGAATCATTGATTGGCTGGCTGCCTTCTGCACAAGGATCGAGCCTGCAACCTGGGCATGTGCCCTAACTGGGAATCCAACTGTGACCTCCTGGTTCATGGATCAAAGCTCTGGCTGGGTGAGAAATCAAAGCTTTTACTAGAGATAATGTGACCTTATGAACCATCTTAGAAGAGAATAGTTCTCTAATTCTTATTAGATCTTAAACATCAAAGTTTGCCGAACTCTCAAAGACACATATATGCAACTAACTGCATTTTATGTATTATTCTTTCCCCTTTGTAGTACAAAAAAAGGAAGTGATTTGCAAATGGCCAGACCTCTCAAAGTATCCAATGCTCTTTCTACCACACTAGTTAGCAAATCAGCCCCTCTCCTTGAATCAAAATTTCAATATAGCCAGATTTCACCATTTCAGGTACAATTCTTATATATTACTATCAAATTAAAATAAGTTTAAACAAAAGTTCATGAGAATGAGAGAAAATTACAGTAAGAAACTAGTAAATTTAAAGGCACAAGCTTCAAGGAAACAGAATCATTTTAAGATGTTTTTGTTTGTTATTAAATGAAAGCAAACAAGAATAATCTGGAGGAATTACTGAGAATGGAAAAGAGTGCTAATAGGTCTGTCCAATCTCTTACCCATATGGTATGTCCAGGAAAAAAAAAAGCAACAACTGAAAGATAGAGCTGAATCAAGTTAATGCCAAGGAATAGAAGAAACATTAAATGAAGAGATGGAAGCTAACATAGTACGTGACCCTAATATAAGGTAATTTGTATCCCATAAACAAGTGTTCTACAGAGCAAACAGACATGTTTTGGCTAGGTGAAGAGAAATGAGACAGCTGATTATGGTAAAAGAAGTGTGCAGCAATAGGTTGAAGAGCAACAAGGGAAACCAAAGGGGCTACTGGTACATTTTGGGACTGAATTGGAAGCTGTTACTAATGTTTTCAAAATAATTAGTCCAGCAAGTCCCTCGAGAGGAGGTAGAGAACTCAGGCCATTGCTCCATATTGTAACAGTTATAACCCTCGTAATCTAGATTGTGGATTCTATTTTATTTTTCCTAGGGAAACCGCCTGCACAGGGATCTAGCCTGCAACCTGGGCATGTGCCCTAACTGGGAATCGAACATTTTCCTAGGGCAATTGAGGCTGATTCTATTTTATTTTTCCTAGTCAACGGAGAAAATAGGAAAATTAAAATAGAATCAGCCTCAGTCTGGACTAAATCTGCATCTGACAAACTCCTAGACCAATTGCAGATCTAGCAGACAACAGGTATACTTATCATAGTTCCCAAAACCCTCCTGCACATGCTTTTCAAAAACAGCAATTCTCGATGGATAGGGAGAAGCTAGGTTCTTAAGTTATCTTTGCCTTGGATTGTGTTTCAAAAGAATTTAAATCAACATAAGGAATGGTCAAATAAAAAGCAATTGTGATATCTTCTGCAATAATGGTATTGAAAACACAATCCATCATATTGTTTAAGGACCTAGACCAGCATCTTGCAAAGCTTAGTATTTACTTTAAAAAGCAAATCATGGCAAAATAAATTAGGGAAATACTTTAATCTTTCTTTAAGAAAGTGAAGATAAGGAATATTTAAGGTTATGAAAAAACATATAATAAGTCTGTTTATCTTATTTGGCCCAGTTTTTACTAAACTTAATCCTGATATATTAATATTTAGCAGAGTAATTGTTCTATATTCACAATTTGAGGAAAGCTGATTTATACTGAGAACTTTAGAATTCAGAAAAAGGAAGTGGTTTGTCTCTTCTGATCATATAATGATGACAGAAATTATATTTCCCTTTTTACTGGGTGACCAGAAGCTCAGAATTAAATTTAATATTCAAATAGAATGCACACTAAATCCCAGGGTACTGGTATATTTGCTTTACCTGTCATACTTAGGTATTTATTTTCTATTTAGATTTTGACACATTTATTTGACATATATGTGAAAATATCAGACTTTTTGTTCTTACTTCAAGTGGAATATCAAGTAAGTCTTGATATTTTCCTTTAATTATTAAGAGAAAATACTGTAGCAGGTTTTGCTAAGTGGTTAGAGCATTGGCCTGTGGACTGAAGATCCCAGGTTCTATTCTGGTCAAGGGCATATAGCCTGATTGCAGGCCAGATCCCCATTCAAAGTGTATAGAGGAGGCAACCAATGCATGTGTCTCCCTCACATCGAGGTTTCTCTCTGTCCTCACTCCTCCTTTCCACTCTCTCTCTAAAAAAAAAAAAAAAAAAAAAAAAAAAAAAAACTAACAAAATAAAACAAACAAAAAATGTAAAAAATATCCTTGGGTGAAGATTAACCAAAAAAAGAAAGTACTGTATTTATATACTTACATGAAAGCAGATTAAAAGGCCACGGGAGAAAGACCTTCAGTAGATAAAATTCTCTAAAAAGGATTACTCATGGGAAACACTGCTTGCATCTACAGAAATACTAGAGAAATTATCTAGCAGCTGATATTTAAGAACTCTTCTGCACATGTAAATTTTTAGGCTATGGAACATATTTCTGGGATATGACATATAATTTGAATTCCAGTATTTCCAAAACATGTGTTCTTTTCTTATATGATACCCGTGAAAAATAAGGATCTATTTTTTTTTTAAATAAGGATCTATTCCATGTTACAAAAGAAAGGTAAAAATGTGGAAATATTTCCACATCACTTTAAGTCTCTAATCACAGCCAAATTCTTTAAAAAGAGGCAACTATCCCATATACTGTCAGATGTTGACTTAGTATATAACCATACCTTCATACTAAGAGACATGCCATCTATTTCCTATTCTCCAACAGAGATAGATAAGTGTATTATGTTAAGTCCAGAGTTATTTTCCCTTTGTATCTTCTCTCTCATAAGAAGTCACTGCCAAATCTCTAATACTTTTATACCAGCTACATTTCCTCTCTTTTCTACTCCCAATAAAATTGGCACAGAAATCCCTGAAACCTAATTCTTAAGTTTGTAGAGATCACAAAATAAACTCAGGTACTGAAATGTCTTATAAAGAAAATTCAGTTTGAAGCCACTTCCCCAGATACAATTATAAATCTTCCTGATGCGGTCCGTTTTGGTCAGACTCTGCCTCCTACCCACCAACACCTGTCAAACCATATCTTATCCTAAAAACAATGTAAGAACAGCTGACTTGCCAAACTTCCTTCCCCATGGGGGTTATGCACTCTGTGGCTTTTACTCTCACTAGCCCACTGCTCAGCAAACTTTACCTTTGGTGATTTCTGGAAAGTTTATCAATGTCCTCTTTAACCCATTTTTTCCCCATTTCTTTAAGCTTTAAAAAATGCATTATGGCCGAGATCGGTTTGGCTCAGTGGATAAAGCATCGGCTTGGGGACTGAAAGGTCCCAGGTTCGATTCTGGTCAAGGGCATGTATCTTGGTTGCGGGCGCATCCCCGGTGGGGGGTGTGCAAGAGGCAGCTGATCGATGACTGTCTCTCATCGATGTTTCTAACTCTCTATCTCTCTCCTTTCCTCTCTGTACAAAATCAATAAAATATATATTTTTTAAATGTATTATGTATATTTTTACAATTTTTTAATTCAAACTTTTTTAATTTTATTGATTTTAGAGAAAGAGAAACATCAATTTGTTGTTACACTTATTTATTCACTCATTGGTTGATTCTTTTTTTTTTTTTTTTTAATATATTTCATTGATTTTTTTACAAAGAGGAAGGGAGAGGGATAGAGAGTTATTATAGAAATAGTATCCATGAGAGAGAAACATCAACCAGCTGCCTCCTGCACATCCCTACTGGGGATGTGCCCGCAACCAAGGTACATGCCCTTGCCTGAAACTGAACCTGTGACCTTTCAGTCCTCAGGCTGACACTCTATCCACTGACCCAAACCGGTTTCGGCTGGTTGACTCTTGTATGTGCCCTAACCAAGAATCAAACCCACAACCTTGGCATATTAGGACGGCACTCTAACCAACTGAGCTATTTGACCAGGCCTTATCTTTACCATTTTTTATGTGAAGAAAAAAAAAATTTCTTCCTTAACTCATTCACTTAGTTTCTTAATGAGCCTAAGAAAACTCTGACCAAGGCTAGTAGTGAGTGACACATCTGTATCAAGCAATATTAAAATTCATGGTTTTTCATGCATCTTGACAAAATAAAGCATCAGTGTCAGAATCCTCTTCACAATTTCCATAATACTCTCAATCTATCTCTTTCTTATTTTATAAAATCAAATCTGTTTTCCCTAATACGGTTTTTTAACTAGTCAAAAAGGATTTGTATTTACTTCTTACATTTGTTGCAATTATTGTTTACTTACCAGTGTTAGAATAGCACATTTTATCGTTTTTCACAGGAGACATACACAGTAAGTAATTTAGCTACCTTAGGAATTAAACAAGCTTTATAATCTAGGTTAGGAGCCTAGCCACCATTTGGACTAGAAATCTATGGAAATACAAACTAAAGTTGTGTCTAACGTACATAACTTAAGGAACCTCAGAAAAATACTTCAGATAACTTTAAATATCATTGTTTGCATCACCTCTATAAAAAGGTCAGTATTTGATAATCAAATAATGTAATCTTACATGTAAGTTTTACTATTAAATAGCTATTGTCCATTTATATAACACAAATTACAGTTCAATCCTTGAAAAAAAAATATT